TTCCACATTGTATTTTTGCTTCTGTTCTCTCCCAACTCATCCCACTTTTGGGGGGACTTCCCTGATTTTTGTAATGAAATTTCTCCTTCCAGTAACCACTCAGTCATTGCAAATAAGGGCAGAATGAAACTCTAATTTCTCCTGACACTTTTCATATCACCTCCTTTCTCCCTACCCACAATCATGCTTGTATGTGTAATTGGTTGGAGGAGACTGTAGGCTTCCTCTACTTATATCTACTCTCTTTGCTGTTGTTCAGTCACTAAGTTGTGTCTGACTGTGAACCCATGGACTGCAGGATACCAGGCTCTTCTCCACCATCTCCTGGAGCTTGCTCAAACTGATGTTCATTGAGTTGGTGATGCTATCTAACTATCTCTCTGTTTTTTTAAATTTACTTTTATTAGTTGGAGGCTGATTACTTTACAATATTGTAGTGATTTTTGCCATACATTGACATGAATCAGTCATGGATTTACATGTGCTCCCCATCCTGATCCACTCTCCCACCTCCCTCTCCACCCGATCCCTCTGGGTCTTCCCAGTGCACCAGCCCAGAGCACTTGTCTCATGCATCCAACCTGGGCTGGTGATCTGTTTCACCCTTGATAGTATATATGTTTTGATGCTGTTCTCTCAGAACATCCCACCCTCGCCTTCTCCCACAGAGTCCCAAAGTCTGTTCTATACATCTGTGTCTCTTTTTCTGTCTTGCATATAATGTTATTGTTACCATCTTTCTAAATTCCATATATATGCATTAGTATACTGTATTTGTCTTTATCTTTCTGGCTTACTTCACTCTGTGTAATGGGCTCCAGTTATCTAACTATCTCATCCTCTGCCACCCTTTTCTCCTTTTGCCTGCAGTCTTTTCCAGCATCAAGGTCTTTTCCAATGAGTAGGCTTTTCACATCACATGGCCAAAGTACTGTAGCTTCAGCTTCAGCATCATCACTTCCAATGAGTATGTAGGGTTGATTTCCTTTAGATAGACTAGTTTGATCTCCTTGCTGTCCAAGGGACACTCAAGAGTCCTCTCCAACACTACAGTTCAAAAATTTCAATCCTCTGGCCTTTATGGTTCAACTCTCACATCTGTACATGACTACTGGAAAAACCATAGGTTTGACTATAAGCACCTTTGTTGGCAAAGTAATGTCTGCTTTTTAATATGCTGTCTAGCTTGGTCATAGTTTTTCTTCCAAGGAGCAAGTGTCTTTTCATTTCATGGCTGCAGTCACCATCTGCAGTTATTTTGGAGTCCAAGAAAACAAAACCTGTTACTGTTTCCATTTTTTTCCCCATCTATTTGCCATGAAGTGATGGGACCAGATGCCATGATCTTAGTTTTCTGAATGTTGAGTTTTAAGCAAACTTTTTCACTCTCCTCTTTCATTTTCATCAAGAGGCTCTTTAGTTCCCCTTCACTTTCTGCCATAAGAGTTGTGTCATCTGCATAGCTGAGATTGTTAATATTTCTGCCAGCAGTCTTGATACCAGCTTGTGATTCATTCAGCCCAGGATTTCACATGAGGTACTATGCCTATAAGTTAAATAAGCAGGGTGACAATATACAGGCTTGCCATACTCCTTTCCTAATTTTGAACCAGTCTGTTGTTCCATGTCTGATTCTGATTCCAACTGTTGCTTCTTGATTCACATACAGGTTTCTCAGGAGACAGGTAAGGTGGTCTGCTACTCCCATTTCTTTAAGAATTTTCCACAGTTTGTTTGTGTGAGCCACATATCCAAAGGCTTTAGTGTAGTCAATGAAGCAGAAGTAGATGTTTTTCTGGAACTCCCTTGCTTTCTCCATGATCCAAAGAAGGTTGACAATTTGATCTCTGGTTCCTCTATGTGTTTTCTAAACCCAACTTATACATCTGAAAAGTCTCAGTTCATGTACTCCTGAAACCTAGCTTGAAGAATTTTGAGCATAACCTTGCTAGCATATGACATGAGCACAAGTTTACAGTAGTTTGAACATTCATTTCCTCTCTAGTCATTGTAAAATTTGGGCACCCAGGCTACAAAGAGTAATTTTTGAAAACTTTTATTCTCTGAAATACATTAACAGTAAATTTTATGCAGGTATATATTATATTTCGTAGAGTTACATCTAATGACAGAGGTACTAACTGGTAAATCATGTGTTTATTAATATCTCCCTGAAAAAGCTATGAAAAGAGCATTTTTTGTTTGTTAAACACACAAAATATAATTCATAAAGTTCTGGAACTTCAAGATTAACTGCAATTTATGAGGGGTGTATGTTATTCCAAATCAAGTTAGATAAGTAGTTCAACCTAAGTAAAGTAATACTGGTCTGTGTATTCTACGCAGAGAGTTCTATATGGCACATATACACATACAGGATTTTTATATTGCTGATTCTTTTCAGTTATGTCATATTACTTTGGATTCTGGGTTCTTAAAATATTAAGATTTAACTTGAACACTGACCTTCTTGTCCTTGAAAACAGTTAAAAGTGAAAACAATATAACGTATACCAATAAAAAATATTCATTGAAAGCTAATATAAGTTGTTTTTCAGTCACTCAGTCATGTCTGACTCTTTGTGACCCCATGCACTGCAGCATACCAGGCTTAATTGTCTTTCACTATCTCCCAGAGTTTGCCCTAACTCATGTCCATTGAAAGATATACCTATGTGAATGCAGAGTTCCAAGGAATAACAAGGAAAGATAAGAAAGCCTTCTTAAGTGAACAATGCAAAGAAACAGAGGAAAACAATAGAATGGGAATGACTAGAGACCACTTGAAGAAAATTAGAGGTCCCAAGGGAACATTTCATGCAAAGACAGGCTCAGAAACAATATGATCCTAACAGAAGCATAAGATATTAAGAAGAGGTGGCAAGAATACACAGAAGAACTGTAGAAAAAAATGTCTTCATGACCTGGACAGCCATTATGGTGTGATCACTCACCTAGAGCCAGAAATCCTAGAGTGTGAAGTTAAGTGGGCCTCAGGAAGCATTGCTACAAGCAAAGCTAGTGGAGGTGATGGAATCCCATCTGAGCTGTTTCAAACCCTGAAAGATGATGCTGGGAAAGTGCTGCACTCAGTGGGTCAGCACATTTGGGAAACTCAGCAGTGGGCTCAGGACAGGGAACGGTCAGTTTCATTTCAATCCCAAAGGACAATGCCAAAGAATGTTCAAACTACCTCACAATTGCACTCACTTTACATGCTAGCAAAGTAATGCTCAAAATCCTCCAAGCTATGCTTTAACAGTACAAGAACCAAGAAATTCCAGATGTACAAACTGGATTTAGAAAAGGCAGAGGAATCAGAGATCAAATTGCAAGCATCCATTGGATCATAGAAAAACAAGGGAATTACAGAAAAACATCTGCTTCATTGATTATGATAAATCCTTTGACTGCATGGATCACAGCAAACTGTGGAAAGTTCTTAAAGAGATGGAAATATCAGACCACCTTACCTGCCTCCTGAAAAACCTGTATGCAGGTTGAGAAGCAACAGTTGGAACCAGATATTGAACAACAGTTTGGTTCAAGTTTGGAAAGGAGTATGTCAAAGGAGTACATGTATATTGTCACCCTGCTTATTTAACTTATATGCAGAGTACATCATGCAAAATGCCAAGCTGGATGAATCACAAGCTGGAATCAAGATTGCCAGGAGAAATATCAATAACCTTACATATGCAGATGACACCACCCTAATGGCAGAAAGCAAAGGGGAACTAAAGAGCTTCTTGATGAGGGTAAAAGAGGAAAGTGAAAAGGCTGGCTTGAAAATCCAACATTCATAAAACTAAGATCATGGCATCCAATCCCATCATTTCATGTAAATAGATGGGAGGAAAAATGGAAACAGTGACAGGTTTTATTTTCTTGGACTCTAAGATAACTGCAGATAGTGACGGCAGGGATGAAATTAAAAGATGCTTGCTCCTTGGAAGAAAAGCTATACCAACATAGATAGACAGTGTATTAATAAGCAGAGACATCACTTTGCTAACAAAGGTCTATATAGTCAAAGCTATGGTTTTTCCAGTAGTCATGTACAGATGTGACCATAAAGAAGGATGAGTGGTAAAGAATTGATGCTTTCGAATTGTGGTGCTAGAGAAGACTCTTGAGAGTCCCTTGGCAGCAAGGAGATCAAACCAGTAAATCCTGAAGGAAATCAGCTCTGAATATTCATTGGAACTACTGATGCTAAATGGCCAATACTTTGGCCATCTGATGGGAAGAGCCGACTGATTGGAATAGACCCTGATGTTGGGAATGATTGAAGGCAGGAGGAGAAAGGGGCGACAGTGGATGAGATGATTGGGTGGCATCACTGATTCAATGGATGTGAGTTTAAGCAAACTCCAAGCAATAGTGATGAACAGGGAAGACTGGCGTGTTGCAATCATGGGTTTGCAAAGTCAAACATGACTAATGACTGAACAACAACAAGAAATGTCCATTGAGTTGGTGATGCCATCCAACCGTCTCATCCTCTGCTGTCCCCTTTTTCTCCTGCCTTCAGTCTTTCCCAACATCAGGGTCTTTTCCAATGAGTTGGCTCTTCATATCAGGTGGCCAAAGCACTGGTGTTTCAACTTCAGCATTCAGGGTTGATTTCCTTTAGGATTGACTGGTTACTATATGGCAGGTACTGTTTTAAGTGATTTTCTTGTGTTAATTAAATCCTCAGAGCCCACTAAGATTGGTACTATTGTTGTCATCTGCACTTTACCTTATGTATCAGAGAAGCAATGTCACTTATCCAAAGTCACTAAACTAGTAAGTGTGAAGCTGAAATACCAAACCCAGCCTACCAAACCTAGGGCCTATCAATATCCACTACGTCATTGGAATCTTCAAATATGGGAAGCATAACTGACCATGGAAATGAATATAGAAGTTAGAGAGTGGTTATACTACACTGAAAGAGAAATTGGAATTGTTAAAGCTCATTGAGCTCACTTATCTCATTTTTATTCCTTGGGCAGAGTGTGGTGGCAGACTGAAAGTGGAATCAAAACCCAGAGATCTGTACTCACATGCTCAGTTTGGTGATAACAACTACCCAGGACAAGTTGATTGTGAATGGCTGTTAATGTCAGAACGGGGCTCTCGACTTGAATTATCCTTCCAGATTTTTGAAGTAGAAGAAGAAGCTGACTGTGGCTATGACTACGTTGAGCTCTTTGATGGTCTTGATTCAACAGCAGTGGGGCTTGGTCGATTCTGTGGATCAGGGGTAAATACAGTACCAACAGGATACCATAGACATGATAAAAAATACCTATAAATTGGTGATTCTATATATGTAAGATGTATAAGTCAGCAATGCTTTTACAAAAAAAATGTTACATCATATTATTAATGGCTTGATAAGTTATAACATGCCTCTTCCCTTCTCTGTTGCTAGTGAATTTGCTCAATAACATCGAACAAGACAGATGAATTCAGTAACTATAATTATTGTTACTGTCCACATTCTAACTTTTAAAACTCATGCTTTTAATTATGCACTAAATATTTAATTATCCAAAAGCAATATATCTTAACACACACCATGACAGTTTTGCAAACTTCTAAATTAAAGCATAGAAGAAAAAGAATATGCATGATTCAAATTGAGATTCCCCTCTCAACAATATATATGATAAGTGGCAGGATCTGATACCAGTGTGGAGGTTTAGCCAGTACTATTGAATGTCACTCCATTGCAGTATGCACAGGACACAGTACCCAAAATAGGTTAGAGGGCATCAACATGACAAATAAGAAAAAGGAAAGCTTAAGTTTTTCTCAGTGCTTTCACCCCCCAGGATTCAGCACATTAATATCAAATGTTCTTCTGAATACATATTTTGTTCTAAAGCTTTAGTTCCATTTTTCAAATTTCTACCAATAACTATTACTTAAATAATACTGAATTTGAATAATATTGAACTCCTGTCCAAATTACAACTGAAATGAAACAAAAGTGCTTCTCAGTACTTAGATTACTAAAACAAGAAGGAATGGACAATTTGGATTCTGGAAGTGGCTCTGCCTCAGAGCAGCTTCTGAAATAGTTTTAATGTCTCTTTTTTCTCTCTGCGCTTCACTTTAATTACTTGTAAGTCGAAGGAACTTGGTTTAAAATTTTGGGGAAAAGCACCAAGTTCCAGAACTTGGAAGCAGACTTAATTATGTTCAAAGCTCAGCTACATCACTGATCAACATTGTGATCTTGAGCACATCATCTGTTCTTTATAACTCAAGCTTTCTCACCTGTAAAATAAAGTCACTCTTATTTACTTTTCAAGGTTGTTGGGAGGATTCAGTTTTATACCAAATTTCCAAATGTGAATTACATAGAAGAAAAAATAATTCATTCTTATTATTTGTTTTTGTTTGTGTGTCTTTGTTTGTCTTTGTTTTTGTCTTCAGCCACCAGAAGAAATCTATTCAATTGGTGATACAGTTTTAATTCATTTTCATACTGATGACACAATCAGCAAGAAAGGATTTCATATAAGATACAAAAGCATCAGATATCCAGATTCCACACATAGCAAAAAATAACCAAAATCTCCATCAGAACATAAGGAATGTGTATAATGCAGAGAAGATTTATTTCTTTTTTAAATGAAGATTTTAGCACAAATATTTCATATGAGTTTGAGCAAAAGAAAACTGCAAGACCAGAATTATCTCTGTACTACAAGAGAAGTTTCCAGCTAACCCTGATCAGCATTACCAGGATATTTGAACTCCATTCTTGACAGTATAAATATAAATAAAGTTGGTGAAAGGGCATCATGATTCAAAGAAGACTTCACAATTCTTTGTTCACAGCACAACACAGATGCTTCACAATTCAAATATTTCCTTTCAGGGTCTGTGACCTTGCAGAGTGTTCTTTTTGACAATTTCTCAATATATGGGAGAAATAAAATGATCTTACAGGTTATAAACTGGAAAACCCTCTCCTAGAATCTTAGGATAATTGCTTTGACTGTGCATCTTGAAGACAATGTAAACCAGATCCATATAAGTTGTTGTGAAGTGGAAGTCTTTTAAGGGTGGTTTATACTTTAAATATGGGTGTGACCAGTGTTTGAAACTGGAATATTTCAGCTTCATTATTTTCACTTGCAGGCTAAATTTACCTCTTTGAAACGTAAACCATCTTGAAACCATCTCATTTTCCTGAACTTTGACAAGTTTGAAATGTCAGTAGTGTCTACCATTTAGCTGATTCTAAACATAATTTTATCTAAGTGCTGGAAAATGCCCAGTTTATCGGTAAACTCAGTTCTTTCAGTGAGAAATGCTGCCTTTTCACACCAAATTCAAGAGACCTTGGGATGTCTTGTGAACGTGATGAGATAATTCCCAACAGGTGTGAACTGGATCCTTTTAAAGTAACTGCGGAGATGGTTCATACTGAAGTTCTACTGCTGCTATTCTTTCTTTTGTTGTTGATCTGTTGTAGCTGTTCATGTTGATGTTGTCAAGGTTAATGTTTTTTTTTTTTTAATGAAATGAAGTGGGCAAGGCTTCTTAGAACTGAAAATTTTCTTTCTCTTCCTAGAATTCAGGTTTTTAAAATGTAATGTTGTAAAAAAAAAAAAAAGATTTGTTTCTGAAAGACTTTCTATGGTGCTATTCCATAAACATTTTTTTTTTAAACAAAGTTTTTGACCTTTGAGCCAACCACCTGTAGACTACAAACGTCTCTGTCTGGCTGGTAGCACTTGAAGACTAAAGACTTGCTAAATGTATCAAAAGTATGTTGTTGCAAGTGTAGCACTTGTCCTGTGGAACAGCTGCTTATAATGCCTTAGAATTACTTTGAATGATTGAGCAGATCCTCCTAAGAGACACACCTTTTTTGAAAAGTTGAGTATAGTAGTGTACTTTAGTTAGCATCTCTATGAGGAAAATTAATTTCTGTGACTGAGATCTTTAGATATAAATATGGTGACCTATGTTTATTGTAGAAAATTAATTTTCTGCTTTAAAGCCAGGATTTTTTTAAATATTAATGTATGTATATATGAGGTTGTCTGAATGAGTGAAGCTACAAGAAAGTGATGAGTAGTGGGTGGCTGAAAAGTTTAAATTTACATGCCAAGTTCTGCTAGAATCCTGTTTGAAGTAGCAACTTTCATAAGCTGTTTCATGGACAAATAATGGGAATTTCTCATTATTATCAATCCCATTTTTAAAAAGGCTCCTTCCTTCAGAGAAACTCTATTTTGATATTTTTTTATGTTGATATAGATTGCTGTATGAAGTAGCTTTGGTTCTGTTGTCTGTCCATGAACATTCAATATTTAATAAAATTGAAAATCTTTCTTCATTTTACAATATTAAACTATACACACAGATTTAGCTTGCTTTTTTTTTTCCATTGTTGCCTTGAAAATCTTTTATTGTGTATGAATTGTATTATGTAAATACATTTTTAAAAATAATCTTTTGATCTCATGGAACATTACTTTGGAAGTGTATAAATATTGCCTGCAATATAAGGAGCTTTTTAGTGGAGCTGATTTATTCCAGTAACTTCTATATTTTTTTTCACCTATCTCCAGTAAGCCAAAATATTGGGAATAGGAAAGAGAGGAGAAAAGAAAAAAACATTAAAACCTGGTATACTATGCTGTGCCCAGCCCAGTACTAAGCACATACACTAGCCCTTTTAACTTCATGCAACCCTTTGAGAACTGTGGTAATGGTCTCATTTTATGGTTTAGGAACTGAGGCTCAAATAAAGAATATAATGTTCCCAGGGTTACAGTGTAAAGTTAGATGTTAAAACTCAAATTGTCTGATATAAAACTCTGTACTTATTCTAAAAATGTAGTAGAATCAATCTTGACATATATATATATATATATACATATATATATACACATATACATATATATATATAAGATATATTTTTATGCTGAAACTTTCCACATAAAGTCAGTTTTAGAGGTGAGTTACAGTAGAACTTTCTAACCAAGAATAAACTTGGTTACTTTCAGTAATAGCATGAAAATTAAAATATCAACTGTAGATGTCTTTAAGAACCACAGTTAATACTAGAAAATTAAAAAACAAAAAAAGCTACTATATAGTTTGGAGTTAGTAACTATGGGCCTTTTGTTAAAATAAGTACATTAAATTATTTTATCTGATGTGGTGGGGAAAATGTAGTGCTTTTAAGAAATACTGTGGATATTCTGGTTGATATCTTATAAGGCTTCAATGAGCTGCCCTCACATAACTGGGAAGTAAAGTATTTAGAAGGCACACTCAAAGAGGTTGTCATAACTTATGTCTTCAATGGGAACATTAATTTTTTATTATACTTTTTGTATGATATCTGCTCACTGCATATTATTTTTATATTAATTCAACTTTGGCTTAGGTGTATTGTTAAATTCAAACACAAACAGCTTCATTGTTATTGTGATAATAATGGTTAATTACTGTTCTAGGCATTTTATTAGCTTTTGTAAATTTATTTTCAACCTTTGCATCAACTTCTACATTAGTCTTGGTTGTGTTAATACTGTCTATTTGCTGAAGTTCTAACTCCTATAAAATCCTCACTGACTCTACATATAAAAAACTGCTCCCACTTAATATGATTTTATTAAATTATTTTTAAAAGTCAATTGTGAATATTACTCTAGTTATTTAGAAGATCATGATTTAACATAACTGCACAAACAATATATTTGAAGAAATATATGAGAAACAGCAGTTCTATTTCCAAAATTCCTAAATGTCCCCTGCCTGTACTGACTGAATTTTTGCTACCTTGGATTAGTTTTAGTATACCACAGTATCAGATTCAAATTCTGTTTAATTTTGTTAATATGTTAGTCTTTTATTTGATTATTATTTTTTCTATTTTTGATAACAAGGCTCAAATAATGAAATTTTATTCTCATATGTAGAAAATCTCTGAAAGCATTTATTATTCCTTACAAGGGTAAACTTTTTAAAAAGAAGCACTGAATTATCAGTTTGTTTAAAATTGATAAACTACAGCCATGTGCAAATTAAAAAGAACTTTCAATTAAAACAATATCAAAATGTTTGGAAATTTTATTTAACTATAATTTTATTTAGCAAGAGTATTTTGTATAAAAGAAAACCTTTAATATCATTTATTAAATCCACCATGGGAAGAAGAAAACAGGAAAAATAAATTACCATGTAAAGATCGTAACTTGAACTGCAGTGGTGCTTTTTGTTTGATAAGAAAAAATAGATAACATGACCTTACCACAAAGAAAGAAACGGTGCTTTATGAATACATTTTTACATTAGTGCATAGTAAATGGTTATAAATGAATATTTTCTTTTTAGTCTTTTATTTTTATTGTTATAAGATTGATAAATTTTGTCATTAGCTTAGGAAATGAAAAGGCTGGCTGCTATACATGGTAAATATTATTTGTCTCCAAACTTTGCTTTGACATGTACTTTTTAAATTGTCCAGCTTTGAACCTGTGTTCTTTCCATTCCCTGCCAATGTACTCAAACTGAATTCAAGTTTACAATGTAATTCTAGTCAATACCATGACATCTACCTGGTGCAGAGGTCAATGCATGGTGGTTCCAAACACTAAGACCCTGACCCTGTCTCATATATATAATCCCCCTCTCATCCAATATTTTGAATAAAAAGTCAATGAAATAAATCTCAACTTCTAACTTTGGAAGACATATAGGTAGAAATATACTTTGGTTAAAGGCTATGAAAACAGAAGCAAGCACTAAATGTGCATCATGAGGCATGTAGCTAGAAGGACCTGGCAGCTGGGTCTTCTCTTGCTTTTACTGAAGTGGCAGGAGGGGTCTATTTAAAGGAGTGCCATTAAAATTATTTAAACACAAGAACACCTGAAAAGGACAAATAGAGTAAAAGGATTATAGATAGGAGGCTTCAATATGTTGATCTATCCTAAAACAAGTATAATTAAAAATTAAATTACAGAAAAATATTTCAAAGGAATATAATAAATTTGTTAAAGTCACTTTTATACCACTCCATGTCTATTAGTTCTGTTTGAATTTCATGGGAATAAAGAGTCTCTTATAATAATTTTTGTGATTTTTATACCAAAAGGCATAGATATTTATTTCAGTTCAGTAGAGTCTCTCAGTCATGTCTGACACTTTATGCCCCATGGACTGCAGCACGCCAGGCTTCCCTGGCCATCACCAACTCCAGAGCTTACTCAAAACTCATGTATATCCAGTTGGTAATGCCATTCAATCAACTCATCCTCTGTTGTCCCCTTCTCCTCCTGCCTTCAATCTTTCCCAGTATCAGGGTCTTTACCAATTAGTCAATTCTTTGCATCAGGTGGCCAAAGTATTGGAGTTTCAGATTCAGCATCAGTCCTTCCATTGAATATTCAGGACTGATTAACTTTAGGATGGACTGGTTGGATATCTTTGCAGTCCAAGGGATTTCTCCAACACCACAGTTCAAAAGCATCAATTCTTCGGCACTCAGCTTTCTTTATAGTTCAACTCTCACATCCATACGTGGCTACTGGAAAAACCATAGCCTTGACTAGATGGACCTTTGCTGTCAAAGTAATGTCTCTGCTTTTTTTATGTGCTGTCTAGGTTGGTCATAACTTTTCTTCCAAGAAGCAAGTGTCTCTTAATTTAATGGTTGCAATCAACATCTGCAGTGATTTTGGAGACCAAGAAAATAAAGTCTGTCACTGTTTCCATTGTTTCCCCATCTATTTCCCATGAAGTGATGGGACCAGATATCATCATCTTAGTTTTCTCAATGTTGAGTTTTAAGGCAACTTTTATGCTCTTCACTTTCACTTTCATCAAGAGGCTCTTTAGTTCTTCTTCACTTTCTACCATAAGAGTGGTGTCATCTGCCTATCTGAGGTCCTTGGTATTTCTCCCAGCAATCTTGGTTCTGGCTTGTGCTTCATCCAGTCCAACATTTCTCATGATGTACTCTTCATTAAAGTTAAATAACCAGGGTGACAATATACAGCCTTGACGTGCTCCTTTCCCTATTTGGAGCCAGTCTGTTCCATGTCCAGTTCTAACTGTTGCTTCTTTACCTGAATATAGATTTCTCAGGAGGCAGGTCAGGTGGTCTGGTATTCCCATCTCTTGAAGAAATTTCCACAGTTTATTGTGATCCACATGGTCAAAGTCTTTGCCATAGTCAGTAACGAAGAAGTAGACGTTTTTCTGGAAATCTCTTGCTTTATTTATGATCCAGTGGAAGTTGGCAGTTTGATCTCTGGTTCCTCTGCCTTTTCTAAATTCAGCTTGAACATCTGGAAGTTCACATATTTTGACACCTGTCTTGAAGAATTTTGAGCATTACTTTGCTAACATGTGAGATAAGTGCAATTGTGTAGTAGTCAAACATTCTTTGGCATTGCCTTTCTTTGGGATTGGAATGAAAATTGACCCAGGCCAGTCCTGTGGCCACTGCTGAGTTTTCCAAACTTGCTGGCATATTGACTGCAGCACTTTAANCCTATAATGAAAAGGACATCTTTTTGGGGTGTTAGTTCTAGAAGGTCTTGTAGGTCTTCACAGAACCATTCAACTTCAGCTTCTTCAGCATTACTTGTTGGGGCATAGATTTGGATTACTGTGATATTGAATGGTTTGCCTTGGAAATGAACAGAGATCATTCTGTCATTTTTGAGATTGCATCAAAGTACTCCATTTTGGACTATTTTCTTGACTATGATGGCTACTCCATTTCTTCTAAGGGATTCTTACCCACAGTAGTAGATACATCTGAGTTAAATTTACCCATTCCTGTCCATTTTAGTTTGCCAATTCCTAAAATGTCAATGTTCACTCTTGCCATCTGCTGTTTGACCACTTCCAATTTGCCTTCATTCATAGACTTTTTTTTTCATTCATAGACATTTATTCATTAAACAAATATTTGTTTAATAGCTATAATATTAGCACAATGTCAAATATTAAGACTTTAATGAGACTTTAAAAGGAATAACTCACCATCTTTTTTTTTCCTTGCAAGTTAAATTCTAGTTGAAGAGATAAATATTAATATTAATTAAAAGTAAAATGCAAAAAGGCATCATTACAATATAAAACATCCATGTGCAGAATTCCCTGGCAATCCAGTGATTAGGACTTCATGCTTCCACTGCAGGCAGCATGGGTTTGATTCCTTGTTGGAGAGCTTCCATCTCACATGCCCCTGTGGTATGGCCAAAAAACCAAAAATACATGTGCATTTTACCATTTTGAAGACATTCCTCCAAACAGCATGGTTTGGATTTTGAGACAAGTATTAACATAAATATCCTTTTTTTCCCTTAGTTTTTCCACTATTTTTTTACTCACATTTAGAGCAAAGACTCTCTCACATCAAGTCACCCTGCTGAGGGGTCCTATGCCAGAAACATGAGCCCCCAGATTATCTGCTTATAAAATTCAGTAGAGTTTATATTCAGGAGAGCCAGATGGCTGTAGGAAATGGAGCTCCAATCATAAAGGGCACACACAAAATCTCACATTCTATGAGACCCAGTGCAGAAGCAGAAGTTTGAAAGAAGCCTTGGTCAAACGCAGTTCCTGATCTTGGAAACATTCCCACAGGGTTAGGAGGCAAATGGAACGCTCCCTGGGAACCTGAACACTGGAGACAGATTTATGAGCTCATTCTAATGGAAAAACATTGACACTGAAAGCACAATTTGGGAATCCTCCTTTGCTTTTATTAAGGTCATGACCCCAGCTCCACTCACCAAGCACCACCCTATCACCAGATCACAGATTTCATATCAAAATATCATAGTAAGTATCACATTAAAATATTAAAATAATCATATATGTAACCATATATAGGACCACAGGGCTTCCCAATTGGGTTAGTGGTAAAGAATCCACAGGCCAATGCAGGAGACATAAGAGATGTGGGCTCAACCCCTGGATCAGGAGGATTGCCTGGAGGAGGACATGCAATCCACTTCAGTATTATTACCTGGAGAATCCCATGGATTCTAGCGGAGCCTAGCTACAGTCCATAGGGTTGCAAAGAGTTGGATTTGACTGAAGTGACTTAGCACAGCACACAGCACATATAGGGTTATATATGACCTTATGGTAACCACGTCCAAATTATAATAGATGCTACATACACATGCATAAAAGAAGAAAAAATTTAAAGGTAATGCTAAATAAGATAATAATCAAATCATAAGGGAATAGAGCAGAAAGGAATAAACACTAAAAAACAGAAAATAAAAAACCAAGCCTGAAAACAATTGGCAAGATGACACTAAGTACATATCTACAAATAATTACTTTAAATGTAAATAGGCTAAATGCTCCAACCAAAAAATCACAGAGTGACCAAGTGAATTTTTAAAAATATCCACATATATGCTGCCTACAAGAGACTCACTTTGGATTGACTGAAAATGAAGAGATGAAAACAGGTATTCCATGTAAGTGGAACTGAAAGTAAACGGGGTGGCAATATTTGTATTAGACAAAATAGACTTTTAAACAAAGACTAGTATCTCACAGAGCACCAGCTGAGAGCTGGCAAGAGTCCCTGACCACTGGAAAGGAATACAGAGACCCACACAAAACTAAGTAAGATGAAGGAAGGAAGGGGAAAAGAGCA